GTATTTAACTGTTTGCAAATATGGTATGTTATTTGGAACAAACGGTTTTTATACTTGTAAAGTATATTATTTAGTATATTTATACACTATGATATATATAAATATAATAAATCATTTACTTATATTGTATAAGTTTAGTACCTAGATAAATTCCATTAATATTATTTCCAGTTAAAAGTTATAATATTATTAAAATGTTAATTATGTATACTTTGTTGCAATTTTTTTATTTTATATTGACGTTTGTATTGATAGAAAAATGGTTTATGTAGAAGACTTTAATAAAAGGTTCTGTTTTTTGTATAAAATAAAGTCGGTAATGCATTTGAAATTGGAATTTTTCATCTGAGATCAACTCAAAAAACAAAATTGTTCAACAGCACATAGTACCTATATGAGTTATATTGTAGTATAGGTATATAGAATATGGGTTGTGGATTTGTGATGGTGTAATATAAAAACATATAAAAAAAATAGAAATAAATTTTAAGAATTTACAACATTGGGAACACACCTTGAAATCAGCAGTGTACAATCACAATATTCTTATTATACCTACCCATAACACCCTTCACAATAATTAGCATAATAGCATATCAAAGATTGGTTAAGTTAAAAAGCACTCACAGGCAAATTCACTTTAAAAATCAAATATAATCAAGATAATTATAATCCTTAATCATTTTTTAGAATCTAGTCCACGAGAGTTAATAAAATTTAACATACCAATATCAGTCTATATACTGATCATTAGTTCGCACATCGCTGCAACATATCAAAGTTTTAATTAATAAGGAAAGTCGGGTTGACAAGGATAACATGTAACGATGTAACAACATAAGTGTCTTAGTCTTAATATCATAACAAGGATAAAATGATGACTGGCGCAGAGCTTTCCTTGTTATGATATTAAAACTAAGGCAGTTTTGTTGTTATCCTGTGTATTCTAGTCAGTTATCCGAGTCGTGACTGGGTAGATGGTAGTAATATATGGCAATATGAGTTAGTGTTATAATAGTCAATATCAGAACTGGCAGAACTCGTTGAGGCAAACAACCAGAGGGTGCTTGAACAAATTATACAATTGTGTACTCATGTGCTCATGTGCATCGTCAAAGGAGTGGCGTAATTAGGAATTGGTTCCGAGGTGGGATATACGTTTTTATAACCCTAATAATGGCCGGGGGGCTATGCCCCTCTCATCATCCTTGTTCGTTAAACTTCAAAGATCATAATATTATATTAATTATTATAAATTAATAATGAGGTAAATCTTAAATGGTTTTATACTGGTTTTTAAAAATAATAAAGCAAACAATTAAATTAAATATATTATTCATAAAATAGGTAAAGTCCACATTTCTTTTTTTCTTTTTTTGTTACAATGTCTAGTACCTACCTATATGTTAGATCTATAAGATTCAATATTATATCCCAATGCACTAAGGTCATTCAAACGTTCCTATTAATTTTTTAAAAATTCATAATTATTAATAAATTTGTCTGGGATTTCAATGCACTTTAAATTGTTTTCCTAATCTAGCCACGTGATGCTCATTGTATAAAATACACGTTTCATGCACTTTTGTAACACAAAAAGAAGTTTTAACTTGCACCTAATTGTATTTTTTGAAAATTTAAAATTTTAAGGTTATTTCGCTATTATTTTCAGCATTTTAAGCTTTTTGAGGCATTTTTATTTTAAAACCTTAAAATATTTTAAAGCCCAGTGCTCAAGAGAATTTAATATCTATTTATTAAAAAAATGGCATCATAATTACGCCACTGGTATCGTGGTATGAGCACAGAACAATATAATATTATATTAATTATGAAGGCATAAGATCATAAAGGCCGTTAAGAGTAAGTGTAGTTTTAGATATATTATGCAAATGTACAATTACTACAACAGTGAGAGTAGGTCGTATTTTTCTGTTGTAGTGTCAAGTGTCAATCTCTACTATCTATTAACCTTGATTATCCCATATTATCAGAAAATTACAATTGATAATGTTATCACAATGCACTGGTTTTGTACATCTTTCGTGTATTAAAAATTAAAATGGGCAGATAAAATATCGGAAAACCACTTAAATTTAAGTTAATTATTGTTTATTGTATACTATTAATTGTAATTTAATTTTAGTTTTAATTGTTCGGAACAGTATTCATCCACAAAGTATTTTATAAATTCAACCAAAAACCAAAAATGTCTTTTGGTGGTTTTATTGATTTCTTTCAAAAAGGAAAAGTAAGTGCCAAAATATTGTATTATAGGTATATTTATATTACAAATAAACTACTGCAGGCAGTATTAAATTATCCATTAAAAATATATTTTCAGACTTTTAGGCCGAAGAAAAAGTTTTCACCAGGCACTCTTCGTTATTCGTTGTACAAACATGCACAAGCTTCATTAAACTCCGGCATAAATTTAAGGAGCGCAGTGCAATTGCCACCGGGAGAAGACTTATATGATTGGATTGCTGTTCACGGTATTATTATTAAATCTTAAATTTGTATTTACAATTAAAAAAAAAATTATATCATAACAGTAAGTTCAGCCCAATTCACCAATTATATCAAAATTCAATGAATATACTTGCTATCCAAATCCTCTTAAAACTAAATTGAATATTTATTTAATGTTTTAGGGTTTAAATAGGTAAACAAGTTTTTCATATACTTAAATATACGATATGCAGACATGTAGTCATAATTATTTTGCACATTGCCACATATTTTACAAAAATTATATAGCCCCTAATAATCCTAAAATGTATTCAAAATAATTCTCATTAATTGTATAACACTAATCACAGACATAGAGCACGTGCTACTTAGTATAATTGTGTTCATATTAGTTATATACTGTTGATTATAAAAAAAAATGTTCAATAATATTTTAGCTTATAAATATTATACATAAAATTTAGGATTTAAAGCATAATCTATACTTAACTAAAAATAAAAATTTGAAGGTGTTGCTATACCTGTACTTGTATATGAATATTTTCACTGTTAAAAGTCTATGGCTTCCACACATTATAGATGAAACCTATTTTTCACCTATTCCTGTGTTTTGTATGTGAATCATTTAAATATAAACTACTATCTTCTTGTAAATATAATTTATATGTATGAAATTGGATCTTATTTTACCTGAATTATTATTGATACTGGCAATACCTGAATTTAAGTAATAACCATATTACAAACAAATACAATGAACTCTATTTATCTTAAAATATTTTTTTTCTCGGAAAAATAGACAATAAGTAATTTACCGAACATTCTATTTTGTTAAAATATTGTCTTTGCGTACCGAGTCCTAACAAAGTACTAATTTTCATTTTCAGTGGTCGATTTTTTCAATCGAATAAATTTGATATATGGCACTGTTTGTGACTACTGCAGTGATACATCTTGTCCAACCATGAGCGGTGGGCCAAAGTTTGAGTATTTATGGGCTGATAAAGACAGATTTAAAAAACCTACACCGTTACCAGCACCTCAGTATGTTTCGCTGCTCATGGATTGGATTGAAGCACAAATCAATAATGAGAACCTGTTTCCAGTATCTACAGGTATGTTTAAATGAGGTCTTATAATAAGAGTACACCTAACATTATTAAAACTGTTATACTTTTGTTGTATTTGTCAATAGATGTACCATTTCCCAAGACTTTTATGCCACTTTGCAAAAAAATACTTACTCGATTATTTAGAGTATTTGTCCACGTTTATATACATCATTTTGATCGAATTATATCTATAGGCGCAGTAAGTATTATTATATTTTGCTACAAAAATAAAATAAAATGTTCAGCTTACAATGTTTTTTCTTACATATTTAATTAGTTCAAATTTGGGATAGTAATCATATTAATGAATTATTTCATGTAACGATAAGTGCAAGTAAAATTAGAACAAGCACTTAAATATAGACACCCAGGGGCAGCATAATTTGTATCTGTTTTATAGTACGGTTCTTATAAATCTTTATACAGCTGTAGCTCTAGTCATTCAGTCAGTAAACAATTTTTATTAGTTCAAGAAATAAATATTATATAAATTTCTAAGTTATATTAACATGACTTCATCACTAAATGCTACTGCTTATTAATTTAAATTACTTAAGTATCTTATAATTATCATTTTATATTTATTGTAGATGAACTGTTTGTTCATTGAAGAGATGGGATTTTGAAATTGTAATATCGTTTAGCACATAGCTTAACATCTTGTATGTTTCTTCTAAACTTGAGAATGATGGGGTTATTTCATTAAATTGAAAGGCAATGCGTAATATTTATAATAAATAATAGTCCTAAATCAAAATGATTAAATGCTGTAAAATATCAAAAACAAATTCATATCACATATTGCAATAACCCTTGAAGCCCTTTCGCAGTAAAAATGAACCAGTGTAATATAGCTAGATTGTAGCCACAGTCCTAGGCATCTTCAATAATACAAAGATTGTTAATAAATACCCCAGTTTCTTTCATTAGATTCATGTAAATATGTTTTTAGTTAATACTGTAATGAGCTACATTTCATTTTTTTTTTTTTATTTAGTTACCATTTAAAATATTATTAACATATCTACAGATTGTTTTTATCTAGATACATATTCCTATACTTGTAATTGTATTTTATGTTACAGGAACCACACGTAAATACATGTTACAAGCATTTCTATTATTTCATAACAGAGTTTGATCTAGTCATAAATAAAGAATTGGAGCCATTAATGGAAATGACATCGAAAATGTGCCAGGACTGTCTTCAAAATGAATAAGATTTTAAGATTTTGTAACCAGAATTGGTATTAATTAAAATAATTGTATATACTTTAAGAAATACTATGTGGCATTTATTTTACAATTTTGTTACCTTTAAAAATGTATATTTTTAAATAAATATTACCTTGTTAATTAAATTAAGAGTTGAATAATATATGTATATAAAATACATATTATGTAAAAACAAGAAAGTGGATTTTAAGAAATTTTATTTTATTAATAATTAATTATTACAAAACTTAACCCTCTTGTGTACGAATACGTGCGTTTCCATTGGTTAATCTGATAGATAACTCTTGGGCTCTAGAAACAATAGTTTTACGATTTTTAGATGAAACACCGTGAGCGATCTCTCCACAGTATTTTCTGTTCTGCATCATCAACATTTCCAATTCCTAAAATTTGAAAATTTCATAAGAAATAAGAATCCATACAGGTTAGGTTCAAAGATCTAGTAGTACTTACTCTAACATTGTGCACAAGAACTTTACGGAATTTAGAAGGCAACATGTGTCTGGTTCTCTTGTCGCTACCATAACCAACATTGGGCATCAAATACTGTCCCTTGAATCGTCGTCGGACTCTGTTGTCAATACCCTTTGGTTTACGCCAGTTGGGCTACAAAAGAAAAACAATGAAGAAAAATGATACCATTGAATATCATATAGGTATTGGTTCCAAAAAAACTTACCTTGAGTTTGTCATAACGATCACTTTGATGTCTGATGAACTTCTTGGTACGTTTTTTGATAATTTGTGGGCGATACTTCGGCTTGATCGACATGGTTAATCTGAAATAACAGGATGAAAATCAATCTCGGTTTGTACGGATTTAACTGATCTTACGAGACAAAAACATATACAAATATGATTAATGTGTCATTTCGACTAAATAGAAACACTTAATTGATTCTTTATAAAATCGTATAAAAGTCATTTCTGAGAGGATCAAATTGATAAATTCGGATAAAAATCTCACAAATATACTTACAAATGTATAGAATTGATACACGGGAAAAGCGGACGTACTCCGAAATGTCGTACCCAGAGCGAATAAAAGTAAACAACACAGACTGCGAACAGTATATTGAGGTTATGGTTATCATCTTTAACCGTGCTCCATATGATATAATCTCATTAAAGGTATACCAACCTCACGATTCTTACAAAGAATGTTGCTATCAGTGACGCCCAAATTCAAAATGCAATCACTGAAAACCACGATGTAGATAAAATATATCTACATCGTGCTGAAAACTATGGAATCGTATTAAAAACCGGCAGTCTCTAGGTATTTAGCAGGTTTATGGAAAAATTATTTATTAACTGTTGAATATCAAATTTCGTCAGATTTTAACTTCAGATGTGCTTCAAAATTATTAATGGGATAATAACACTAAACTTCTGAAATCAATTATTAATATAATATAATTTAAGAATTTCATAAGTTATAAAACAGGAAGACAATTTTTGAATATTTTTAACATATATTACCTTCATCACTTGTATTCTTCCAGTTACAGGCCATGGTTGTATTATAAAAACTAATTTTGAAGTGATACACTTTTTTTTTTGTTTAATTGATGGAAGTTTTTGTTATCCCTGCAGGCTGTCAAATTCCTAAATTCAGCCTTGTCCTAAGTAAAACTGTTAATTATTGATAAGAAATTATTAGTAAGTAGCTGCAATTTAAATACAATATTATTTATACTGTCAATTTTCAATACTACCATTTATCCATTTTACTCTGTGTTTTGAGAATATTTTATATAGTATAACTTATATCTATGCACCAGTTGAAAATTGTTTCAAACTACCTACCTACACTTTTTTATTGCATCGAATTAATTCATCGAAAATTGACATTGTTTGACAACGGCAATCTAAAAATAATTTGTCTATTTATTAAGTCAAATCATTATAGGTAATTCTAATCAAAGTTCATCGAAAACGTAACTTTACCGATCACCAAAATAGTCAATGTTTATCAAAATCGATATCAGTAAATCGTTCAAAAACACTTTAATATAATATAGAGAAAAATATACTATAGGTCTTTTGTCTATAAGTATATTACCTATATTATAGATTATAGTATTTTTATACTTAATAGTTTTACATAAATAGAATATTTGAAAAAAATATTCAAAATTCAGTCAATAATTTACCTCAACACCCTTCGTCATAAATGCCTTTTAGATATTATAATCGATTTGTTTCACTTTTAAGCACGACTATAGTGACATAACTATATAACAATTACATACATGATATATGAGCAAAAGAGAAAGTTTTCATATAAAAAAAACTTTCTTGAAATTTTATAAATTTAACTACACACCTGTAATTACAATACATGTGTATAGTAATAATTGATAACATTATGATTATTTGCCACACAATAGGTATAGCTAATAATTAGCTAAATGCCTATATTATATGTTTATGCAAGTAGGCATACTGCGTACACCTAACACTGGAATAATACTTATCAATGAGTACTTTTTAAACTTTTTAACTGCAATTGGTCCCCTTTTTTACTTTTGAAACACTAACTACCTTAACATAACTAGAATTATGAGTATTTAAAAATTGTAAATTGTTTGTAGAATTTAAAATACTCATAATTCTCTTTAAAATTAAAATATAATAAAAAGCCCAGCTTTTCGTAATAATCTTACCTTTAATTTTAATAAGAGGTCAATTCACTCGTAACTTTTAAACTGACAGAGCTAAACGTGATCTTCTGAGAGTACAATTTGGAAAGTTACGCACTTGTAAGACGGACTAGACGGAGACAACACATGCGGGTATAACGTCGTTTTACCTATCAAAAAAGAAAAAATACATAATATAAATATAATAAAATATACCATTCAGTATGCTAAGAAATAAACTTCTTTATTATAAACTAAATGAACTTTGATGTCTTGTTCAGTTTATTGTAAAAATAGGTAAACATCAAGACTCTGATGTTCAAAAACTAATTTAACTAAGATGGTTGCATATGAAACAAGCAAGCAATCAGTTCCATAATGGCCAAATTATCAGATGCTCACCACAATCAACTTGCAGAATATAGAGCTTATATATAGTCCAATGAATTGAAATTGTATTATATCTCGGTAAACAAGGTGTAGCATTCCGGAGGGCGGAGACACTGAGAAATGTTATTTAACAGAATAGTTTTTTATCTATTTATACTTGCTTACTTATTTATTACCTAAATAATTATACAATATAATACACCTAATGTGTTAATGGTTTTATAGTGTGCATTGGGATTGGTTAAAGTAATTATACAATTTAAGGCAGATCAGGTATAAAAGTATGCATCAAATCGAACTTATGCAAATTGCCTACCAAGGTGGCTGAGTTGCACTTATAGCCGCTCATCGGCGTGTCCACAATCAAAATGAAAAATGAAATTAAAATGAACATTATATTCATATTATAGGGTACCAATGCACTTAGAGGGGTCCGCTACCTGATAATTTACTGGTCGCATCATCACAAGCGAGTCTCATCTCATATAATTGGCATTTTTAACGGGCAACGAAGTGCACGGGATCAGCTAGTATAATATTATAATATAGTTTTGTAAAAGTTAACGTATCATTTTATTAAGTACATAATATACCATACTAATTATTATAGACTATAGTTTTTACAATGTAGTAATAAGTATTTTAAGTATTTACAAATGATAAATCTCATCACAATATACACCCTATCATAGAATACTTATTCATTGTTGAACTATTCACTATGTCTCTACTAAATACTAGTCTACTATTGGACCTGGTGGCTGGTACCCTATCGTCTCTATAGAGTACAAAGTGCAGAACCACACAATAAACTAAATTAAAATGTATAATTTAATAACTTTTTCTGTGGAATTAAAACAATTGTGTTATTTGGATGCGGTAATGCGCCATGCTCGACGGTCATATTTAAACTTGTAATATTTTCCGTCAGTTTATTGGCTACACTGATGATGGTCGAACTTTTTTCCTTCTAGAAATTTCCATAGATTGCTCAATGCTCACTTTGGTCCCGGCTCCCGGCTTCAAAATTCGCTCATTCAACCCGTTCTATCTTGTGATTTGGTGCGGTTTTACGAATCTTGCTTGTTTTATTTCAAGTGTCAAGTCGTTAAATCTTCGACACTAAATTCTATTCCTATCCTGCCGAACCGTTCAAATTATTTAAGGTAAGATAAAATTCATTTTTGTCCGATATTAAATTAATGGACGTCGATATTCTACAATTAAAACCAACAACACGTATTCTAACCTTTGCACGACCCGGCCGGCTTAATTCGATATTGGAATAACCTAATTTGTCGGCACAATGTAAGTTTCGGCCGATTGATTGTCTTCGTACTTAGAATTTTCCGACGATCTTCCGGTTTAAGATAACTAACCGGTATAATTAAGAATATAAGAATCTGTGTAGAGGTTACCCGTCGAGACTACCCATGTGGTTTTTTTTAAAAATTATTTTTGAAAAGGGGTATGCTAAAATAATAAGTGAAATTGGAACTAAAACTTTTCCTTATTTTAATTATTGTTTTGTTCAATAATATATAATTAAAAACTATAATACATATTGAATTGACTGTCGATTAAAATTAGTTTGCATTCCTTGATTAAAGTATCAATTATTCAGGATAAAAGTTGTAACTGAAGACCATTTTTCAGAGGATATTATCTTTTTCACTTTTTATCCAACTACAATTATAATATTCATACCAATTTAAGAACATATTTTTTTCTATTATTTCAATTGAAACATTTGACTTGTTTTTTGTATTTTTTTTTTTCAACATTAAATAATAATTGGTTTTTATATTTAATAGATGTACCGTATCTCTGCCGCTCTTGCTAGAAACAATGTACCCAAATACTTTGCAAGAAACTATGCCAAGGACATTAAGTTTGGGCCTGAAGTGCGAAAACTTATGCTTGAGGGAGTTGATATCCTCGCTGATGCTGTTGCTGTAACCATGGGCCCAAAAGTGAGTAAAATTACTAAATTTATTAAAATTTTACATACCAAGCATGTTACAGTAGTATCAATTATTGATATATTTCTGTAAACATTTTTTTTATTTATGTAAGTAGTTAAATGTTCTAAAAACGATGGTGGTATCAGAATTTGGCTGTCGAACTTGGTTTTGAAGTTATAGTTTTATGAAGTTCGGGACCTACCCAAGGTGGTTATACATAACAAGCTAAAGGGATGTTTTTGATTTTAATTGTCAGAGCTAGAGACCACACCAGGTGTATATGATAACACAATAAACTTAAACTGTCTCCAATTTTGAAACTGTCTGACTTCCAAATTCTGACTTTACCATTGTTGTTTTGAGCATACTTCAGAGGACACCACGCCCTCATATGTTTGTCTCCGTTTTACAAATTAAAAACAGCCAAAACTGTTTAGCGCAGGAAAGAACCGAGAAGGTTAGTTATAACTAAGAAACTAAATATACACAATGAATAGAGAATTGTAACTGTGTCAAAACATTTTTATTTTTTTCGATAAGACAATATATCAAAAGTTATTGAAGTTTAGAAAACGTAGAAATATCAGATTTTTAATTGTATTATAACTTTTTCTTATTAATGATATCAAACAAAATAAAAACATTCTGATACAGAAAATATTATCTTCCATATTATGAACACTTTTGGTGTCTATACTAGGACTACATTGGTCTGTCCCGCCCAAAACAGTTTAGCCATGTTGTACGGTTGTTAGACAGTGAGTAGTGACAACATATGTGAGTGTAGTTTCCTCTCAACTACTTATGTTAATGTGTCCGGTAAAACATTAGAGTTCTCAAATATTTTGTTGTCATGTCATTTATGTCTTATTAATCTAATGAAAACAATATTTTTATTTTATTTTTTAGGGCCGTAATGTCATCATAGAACAAAGTTGGGGTTCTCCTAAAATCACTAAGGATGGTGTAACTGTTGCCAAAGGTATTGAATTGCAAGATAAATTCCAAAACATTGGTGCTAAGCTTGTGCAGGATGTAGCAAATAATACCAATGATGAAGCT